CTTAAAACGAATATTGTAATAACCATCATTGAAAAACATTCTCCAGTGCTGCTCTCAATAAAAATAGCATCTTCTTACGGTTTAAAAATCTTGTTTAACTGGTTCCAGGAAAACAATAGATGTGTTTATTGTACCTATGTTTTCAATAGTAGTCGTCAGAATAATTTAGGAAAAAATAATATAATATTTCGAACATTTCGTTACATTGCAGCTATGTAGAACATCATGCTATTCTAAATCTTGGAATCATTGTGTACAAAGAATATGTGTGCTCTATGGCATTCATAACATTAGAAATGTTATGCCCAATACACTTTTCTTGTTTGGTCAGATTACATTATACGATAAATATTCAACAAGAAAAAATTCATTACAGGCATAAAAATGATATCATTAAAAATTGTTATTTTCCTTATAAGTAATAACAATATTTGGCAATGTTAGTTAACAAAAACCGAGCATTTAAATAAATGGATAGCAACAGGTAATGTAATAATAAAATAGAGGTAGACAATATAAATGATTATCTCGAATTCGCAAAGCGAGTATATATATATATATATATATATATATATATATATATATATTGAAATAGGTGTAATAGGATTCCACATGAATCACCGCATTACGAAGCAAAATTCTATATGTACTATTATTACACACTTCGTGGAAGTAATAAATGGGACATGTATTTGTTTGAATTATTCAAATGACTTCATCCATCACAGCGCGAAACCAATCGTCTGCGGTTAGACGTTTCAAAGAAGTGCATTTCAGCTTCATTTTCCAAGTTGGATCCCCTCAGTCTCTAGCACAGAGAACACAGGAACAATTACGCCCAGTCGCTATTCTAACATTAGGTCGCGCGCCCTCCTCTCGCCACCATCCTAGAGTGTTTTTCGTGAGCCAGCATCCTAGCAAAAGGCCATGCTCACTCCTCTACATTCTAAATAGGCCCCATTTCCTCTTCTACGTCCCCATTCAGTCAATAGAAAAGGATCGCCCACCTCACCGGCATTCTAAAATAAGGCCACTCACTCTCATTTCCACCACAATCCTAAAGGAAGGAGCGCTGCTCCCTCCACGTCTCCAACCTAACAAAGCTCCACCTCTCCGCCGCCATCCTAACAGAAGGTTCTTCCTTCCCTGCAACCATTCTAACATAAAGCCACGATTTTCCTCCTGCCATCCTAGCATATGGTTGCGCGCATCCTCCACGTCGCCATCTATCATAATTCCAAGATCCTATTCACCGTCCCATCCTCGTACAATGATGCGTACTCCCTTCCCTGCCACTATTCTAACAAAATGCCACGCTCTCCGCCATCCTCCTAACATTTTGCCGCGCTTCCCACTCCAGGGCGTCATCCTAGCTGCCCTCCCCACCCACCGCCTCCATCATTCGCGCTCCTCCCCACCCCCACCATCCCAACATATGGCCGCACTCCCTCCACTGAACCGCCATCTTAACATGAGACTGCGCTCCCCCTTCCACGTCGTTATCCTAAAATAAGGCCGCACTCTCCTCCCGAAAATCCTAACATTAAGCCCGCGCTCTCCCTTCCCCGTCGCTATCCTAACACAACAACTTGCAAATCTCGAATCACGCATTTCGGCAGGGACCCCTTCTCCGCTTTGCCTCCGGGCGCGTCCTTATCCTCCACCCACGCAGCAACTTCTCCCCACTCCCTCCCTGGGCTCCTCCTCATCATCGCACAATCTCCCTCCTCCCCTCCCTTCGCGACCCCTGCCCGCCTTGGGCGGGATCCGCTCATAACACGAGCGCATGTCCCGCGATACGTTAGTCGCGACTAATATTGAAACAGAATCACGGTGTTTGCCAGGCGACCGCTCGTCATTACGGCCGGCAGGGGAAAAGGGGGTGTCGGGGACAGTGCGGTGGGGGTTGAGGAAGCCCCAAGGAAGCTTGGATAGCGGCCGGCCTTACGAGGTAGTAAGCTCAACAAATGGCGGCGCGTTGATCCTCGAGTTCGGCACTCGCCACCCCGCCACAGTTTTTGTTCCACCCACCTGGGCAGGTGAGTGTAGTGCTGAGGGGAAGGGGTACGGGGGCGTAAGCGGAGGGGAAGGATTTGAGGGTGAGAGAGGTGCAACCGCGAGGGCGGGACGGGAGGAGGAGAAGTGCAATCCGGCAGGGACGCGACGGGAGATGAGGAATGTGCAACCCGGGAGGGACGGGACGGAGCGGGATGGGGCGGGACGGGGTTGGAAGTATGCATCGTAGATGGGGTTGAACGAGTCGGAGGATACACAGGCGTAAGTGCGGATGTTTGAGAAGAGGAATCAGCGGGAAAGCTGGACTGGAGTAGGATGAGAAAAAATGTAAAAGGGGTTGCCGGATGTGTGAGAAGTGTTGTCGCCGGACGTCGAGGAAGCAGGGTGCGGCGGGGTTGTGGAGCAGACGGTGGAACGCCCAATTCGTATAGCCGATGTGAACGAGAGGTGATGTGGCGGAAGTGTGCTAGGACTAAGGCGCTGTAATGTGGTAAGAATGGAAGAACTCTGAAGAGTTGTGGCACTGCAAGGTGGCGGGGCTGAGAAGATGCGGGACTAGGTTCTGATAGTGTTGTGAAGATAGGACTCCATGGGTTTGGTGGTGGCAGAACTGACACCTGGCGGGACTGAGTAGAGAGACGGTAAGACAAAGAGGGGAAAGAACGGAGAAATCAGAGAGGGCGGGGCTGAGAGATGAAGGGTCTGTGACGTGGAGGAACTGATAAATGACAAGAATGAGAGAACGCGCGGCTGAGAGATTGCTAAACTGAGAGATAGCAAGACTAAGAGGAACCTGGATAGATGGATGGCGTCACTGATAGATGGCGGGACTGAAAAGAGGCGCAACTGAGAGATGGTGAGGGGTCTGAGACATGGCGGGACTGAGAGGGGGTGAACAGAAACATGGCGTCACAACAAGTTGGTAGGACCGAGAGGTGTCGTAACTGAAAGTGGAGAGCGAGGTTAGTTAGACCAGAATAGTAAACCCGCAGCAGGCAAGGAAGAATAGAAGAACCGTGATACATGTGGGCAGGGTGGTGTCGAGGCATAGAACCGGTGAGGGGAAGGAGGTTGGTGCAGGGGGTGGGTTTCCGGATGCAATGTTGACGCTTGCAGAAACACCAGACGCGTGAGGCAGACTCTCGCCCCCGCGGCAATAATCGCAGACTTAAAGGAGCGAGACCGGGAGGGGCGGGGGCGCTTAAGACGCAGACATTCCCGCGCTCATAAATGTTAATGCGAACAAACGCGTACTTACCGCGCTGCCGGCACCTGGGAGCTCGCGCGCCGGGGGCGTGGCTCTGTGTGCGGACGTGAGCCCCGGTGCCGGCAGCCGGGTCAGGTAGCTGCTACTGAATGTTCCTTTTCCACTAGTTTCCTTGCGTGCTTAATCTCATTACAGTAGAGTGTGAATCATTTGCCAAATATACGCGCAATTATGAAATTATTTAACTACATTATAATAGGGTTATGGGCCCTTGGATTTAATACCACTATCCATTGCCACAACATCTTGTGCGCAATTCTTTATAATCTCTTCATGCCTTTTAATTAATATTACTTTCTACTAAATAATGGTACTTTAACTTTGAGTATTATGAGATTCTGTAATAAAAATCATGTAAATATGATTTGTGATAGATATAGCAGAACATACGAAACCATTCTCTGATGTGTTGAACTTTTCTTCTAGTGAGTTGAACTTTTCCTTACGAACAATTACCATACTTTCGATGATTCAGGAAATTATCTAGACGTAACGCTTACCTAGCGATGCCTATCAATACGAGTTTGGGAGTTGCGGGAGCACTCAGGACATACGGGGCGGACATGATGGTGTACATGGGTAGGGAGAGGTCGCTCAGTGGCTTGCTGCGTTGGTATGGAGGGTGTGCTGGGCGGGAATGGCTACTTTAATAGACAACAGTGGTAAATTTCGGGCGACGACGGGTATTTGAATTTGAATTTGAATTTGAATGAATGCCGTATTTTACGTGGCGAAACTCGGGCCATCAGGCCTGCTCTTCCGTCTGACCACGCAAATTTCGCTACGCTCCTTCCACCAACTAACAGAGGAAGGAGGTATTTCTTGGGCGAGAAAGAGGCGATTTTTGAATGTAGCTCAGAGGCGTCATTTAGGCTTGAGGATCTTTTACATGCAAGTAAATCTACTGACATGGGGCAGCCGGCTTTACTTCCCCTCCGAAGGAAGGCGTACGAAGGATTTTTTCGCACTTAAAAATCCACGTCTTCGATCGGGTTTAAACCCACCAACTTGGGTACAACAGTCCGGTACGCTAATCGTTACACCATCGCCGGGTAATCAGCGAGTGACTTATAAAACTGACTATAATTAATTGGGTGCATTGCTCTCTACTATTTCAGTATTTAGTTTTGAGTTTGCCAATTAGGGCAACATTTAGTAACAATAAAATGTATGTACAAGTGTAAAATATTTGAATGACCAATACAGGTTTGAACGTGTAATGACAAATGTCTGAAAACGTAGTGTGTTTTTCAACTTACAGTTGTGGGAAAACAATATATTTTTTGTAGATTTCTTGAAAATATGCATGAGGGTGCTTGGTTAACTGTCACATTTAGGGCATTTTTTAACGATCATCTTTATCTTGTTTTCCATTCTTTTGCATTTACCAAACTTTCTGTTTATACTTTCCACGTTTATAGTAGAATATAAGTAACATCACAGTTCAAAATTCTGAAGTTCTAATCGTTCGATACTTGAGAGAAATATATAATTACATCCTTCACCAATAAACCATCACCATCACACCAGATATGGGAATTTATGAAGCTTACCAATCAGCTAGGTAAAATGTTCTTGCCATCATACATTCAGAAATTTGATCCGACTTCTTTATGTAGACTCTTATAAGAAACAAGACTGGTTCATCGGTTTCTCCTAAAAAAAGTAAATAAAAATTTTAGACAGAGGAGTTGGACAAGGGTCAATAAAAAGCCAATTTGTACTCTTTGTACAAAATAATTTTATTAAGGGGAAGATTCTCACACCCAGTCTTGTTCAGCTTTAGTTTCACATGGACTCATATAGACATGATGAGTGTGGCGCTCAGGGATACAGCATCTGAGGAATCGAAAACAAATCTTGAGAAAAAAAACTTCTCCAGAAGGATACAAATCGGATCACCCGTTCACATTTTATCGTCTCTGGGATAGAGAACGTGAAGCATTGGGTCGAAATCAGGGGAGACAAGAAATCTCCAAAAATCACGTAATCACTTTTAGCGCTCTCCATACACCATGACACAAATGTGGCCTTTCGCTACAAATTATAGTGTTGCTTTCAAAGAGCTCATTATACAAGTGATATTTTTGGCACGATTCTTAAGTCTATATTACAAATGTCTCTTGTTAGGTGTAAAATTCTCTGTAAAATCTCAATCTCCCAATTGAAAATTTGAGTTTCACCTCTGTAATAAAATACGTCATGAAACTCAAAAATGTGCCCCAAATTTCTCAAACAAAGCAGTTCAACTGCACAACTTACTTTTGGCTACGAAAGCAGCGTACAAAATGGCACGGTATGGTGTCACGTCAGTGAACAAATGTCACACGCCCAATAGTTCACGTTCCGTCTCATTGGATGCGCACCGACCTTTGATACAGTTTCAATGCCCCATGTAATCATTGTTCACAAGAGGACGTTGTGAGATAGAAGCTTTGTCGAAGTTCTTTGTTCGTCATTAGAGATTGAACGGTTCTTTAAATTTAATATATTTGGCTTACTGACATTTTACTAAATGTAAATTAGAATAATTATAACATTATTTCCAAAACAATTTACAAATTGAAAGATTTTATACTTTATTTCAATTGCTATATATAATTAGTCCAAGTAGAGAAAATCATTAGTGATCTGTTTTTAAATTTGAAAATATTGATTTACTTGTCGTGGTGACGAAAGCTTTTTTCCATCACGTCGTATTGTGAACAAGATTTTTCATTGGGCTTTGCTAAGACATGAAAATTAATCGGTGACATGTTTTTTTTCTTTTCTACATCCATGGTAACTGCTTTGAACGGAGAGGAGGGGTCAAGCTTAGAAAACATTGAAATGATTACAAAGAAACATACAATACAAACATTACTGGACATTTCAATTTTAATGTGTTTACAGACGCATTCCACAAATCACCCTTCACCACTGAAATTACTAAACCCCTGTGTTAAAAACAACGGTTAGCTTAAAACATATCCGAACACTCTCAGTGTCAACGACAATCTCATATATATGTTATACATAAACAGAAAACACCATTAAAACAAATATTAATACATATTTAAACACTCTGCACATAAAATATTTTCCCACATATTACAATCAATGTATGATTTTCACGTAGGTATGTCTTCACACAAAACGTAGTACAGCTCTGAACAAATCGAAACAATATGAATCCATCTCCCCAATGTTCGGAATTTGAGCAAAGACATCGCCTCGTAAAGACTACATGCCCGTTCTCGCTTTACAAAGGTTTCGCATTGCAACCTTCATACGAAGTTCTTTGGCTTCGTGCAAGAGCAGAACGTAACATTTTTTTTCATCTCTTTGGCAGCAGAAGAGTCCGGAAACTGCCCCACAGAATCTGCGAGAGGCGGTAGCCTCCACGTACCAACCCAAACCTTCTAGAAAATCGTCGTCTGCTACATTCCACACAGCCACGTATCAAACAAGACGAACACACTCGCTGAAAACCATACGAAGATCTCTCACTACAAGAACTTACGTGTCAGTTTGAAATCGGTCATCTGCGCACGGTTATATCACTCGCGTCTCTTTCTGAAAAGTGACGACCTCGTTCGCCCTCTAGTGCTCCAAAATGTTCGCTCAAAAGAGCCTACGAAAAAAAAAAACACATCCTGTAGTTGAGTCGGGGTCTGTCACTAGTCAGAGTGCGCGTCCAAGACACCGTCGCTTCTTCCACTGTCACCGGTCGGCGAGTTGGTTCGCAGGGAGCGATCACCATGGAGACCCGTGTAGAGCCAGCGGGGGACTTGCCTGACTCTCTCTTGGTGGAGGTAGAAAAAGGGAGGAAGGGCAGACTCGAAAGGGGGATGTCACCCAGCGCGCCGGTTCGCTCCGATAAAACCGTCACATCCTTTTATTCTTCCTTTTCCTTCGCTTCCTCCTTCCAGCCTCGCTCTGCTCACTTTATCTCTCTCATTCTCTTTCTGTGTCTGTCTGTCTCTCTTTCTTTCTGCCGGCGGCGGGGGCGAGGTCTACGTGCGAGGCCGTCTCTCCACGCACGCCGCGCTTCAACTGTTCTCTGCTCACAAAGGCGCCCGCAGCCGCCATCTTGGCGTCTTCTCTCGCTTGTGCTCTCAGGTGGAAGGAAGCCGGGGCGAGCGCGTCCTGCCTGGCGGCCAGACGACTTCGTCCGCACGCGGGCAGGCGGGGGAGTTGCCCCTTCGGAGGAATAAAAGGGAAAGCGCGCTGCCGTGCGTGGATCTCACCGATGCCGCCACCGTCGTCTCCGCTCGGGCAGACATAACCTCAATCTCCTCCGACGCCGAAGTCCACCGTCGCGCCGCCTTGAGGCGCTGTCTTGCGTAACAAAGCTATACGCGACAGCTTTGTTTTCTCACATTTCCGCTTCGTCGCGGACGTAATAGGTACACAAACTAAATACTGTTTACAGGGAAAGCGACAAAAATAAAAATAGTGTCGAAGTTTCTGAGGAAAATTGCTCTCAGTATATGCTTTTAGTTTGAACTTATATATCAAACGTATATTTTAAACTGCTTATTCCCTTTTATTGAAAGGACCGAAAATCATTTGAAGAAAATCAATATATTTCTGAGCTTTATGTTAGACAATTCCAGATTTAACGTTTTTCCTTCAGAGTGCTTCGACACAAAAAAGTGGGTTAGTAACAACAAAATTCATTGAAGCTTGAAAGCAAACAAATAAAAAGCAGTGGTAATTTCGCCCTGACTGCTCCTAGGCCCTTTTCCGAGGAATAGCATCCAAGCGCTGATCACGTGATGACCCCATGCTATTGAACGCACGCGGATCTCAGCCCAGTTTGGTCTGTGAAGGGTCGTCGAAGGGACACACTACAATCAATAATCATTATTGTAGCTATTGCCAATCTGAATGATGACGTATGTCTTATAAGCAATACGTTGATCCATCTCACGAAGAGTCATAGTTCTATAAAAGTGTATTTAATAATCCCAACATAGAAGCATCAAGTTAATCAACTTGAAATCTGTAACTGAGTTATCTGGCTTCGTACAAATCACAGCAAAACATTCATGTGACACTGAAAATGACATATGTATACAAAGATTTGAGAATACACAGCTTAAATAAGCACAATTAAAGCGTCTCTCTTTACAAAATGTAGTAATGTTATTTCTCGAAAATTTAGATGTGTGTACATTCCTTAATGGCAAAATTCAATAAAACGGTCGTTGTAGTTGATTTAGAGATTTGACTGTTTTATTATCCAGCTCCTTGAAACCCATTCTAGCAAAAACCCATTCTATTCAAATTGAATATTCACACTACAGTACTTTTATCAAATATTTCGTCGCATAGAGTTCAAAAGCTCATTTATGAACTTAGTATTCTCATCTTGGCTTACATTTTTCACATTAACGTTTGGTAATTGCATGGAAACAGTTTGCACCGTAGTCACAGTCTACGAGTGTCATCGCGAAATATCGAGTGGGAAAAACATTATAGAGTCGCGAAAATTCAAGCGTTTTCCAAGCAAACGTTTTAAGCTCTTTGGAAATAGCGCGTGTAGTTACGAGTACGTAACAAAATTGATACGTCGCGTCCTCCAACTCTCGTAGGAGGACTTAACACTCATCGGAGAATTCAACACTCGTCAGAGGGTTCAACACTATTTCGAGGGTTCAACACTCCTCGGAGGGTTGAACACACATCGAAGGGTACAACTCAACAGAGCCAAATCGTACGGGGAGCTGCACCGCACCTGCTGCATCCGGTCTGGGGCCATCACGTGCATCAGCGCAAGGGGCGTGGCTCGGGGCGCGGGCTCGGGCGCGGGCGCGGGGCGCGTCACACGGTCGTCTCCATGGTGACGACGTCCTGTCAACACAGGCTGTCCTTGCCGTCGAGGAAGAGGTCATCGGGCGCTGACGGCGGCGGGAAGCGTTTGCCCACGGGCACCACGCCGTCGCCGTTGTTGTGCAGGTGGTTGATGTGCAGGTGGTTGGCGTGGTGCGGGCGCGGGCCGCGCGGGTGGCCGAGCTGCGCGTGCGCGGGCGGGCCGCCGTCCGCCACGTCCACCACGCCGCGCGTCACGTGACCCGGCGCCGTCTTGTGCTTCTGGCGCTCGGCCGCCGCGGCCGCGCGCCGGTGCTGGCGCAGCTTCACGCCGGCCGTGATGGCGATGAGCAGCGCCAGGGCGCCCAGGGCCGCCGCGCCGATCGCCACGTACAGCAGCGGCACGCCCAACTGGTAGGCGCAGTTGGCGTCCTCCTCGTCGAAGCCCGACGGGCAGTGGCGCGCGCCGTCGCACCACAGCGCCGCGCTGATGCACGCGTTCAGCTCCGGGCACCTGCAACACGCGCACGAGAACACGCCCATTCAGTGTGGAAATTCTTTGGTTGAAAAACAAAATCACTGGCACCACTTTATCTGCTTGGCTGTCCGGCAGACGCAGTTCAGTCCTCGATACAATTACCAACGTTTCCGCTGTCATGCTGCGACCTTCTTCAGGGCAAAATGAGGAAGGTAGCTGCCCGATGGCCGAAACGTTGAAATTTGTGCCTAGGACGCAGCGTCTCTAAGACATCCAACTAGATACTAACTCCCGTCGCGGAAGCCATAGCTATCAATGACGGTTTTTGTTCTGTACAGTAGTGAGTCGTGATGATCGTTTTTGGCTTCAATAAAAAATTTCGCTATTTAAATATTCTTATTTATTAAATTGTCAGCACCGTAAAGTAACTCAGCGTAAAGCAGATTATCCTAATAAATCTAATTTTTTTTAACAAATTTCATTACTAAAATATTTTTATTTACTAAATACACAGAGAAACACGTGTCAACTCTTTGGGTCAGACCCGAAATCGACAATCCCGAAAACAATAAAAAACAAAAAATAAACAAAAAAATACAATTTCACGATGTGGTTTTGCGATTAAAAACTGGAAGGTATTGGCAAAATTCTGACTTCATATTCGGATTGAGCGTGTCAACATAGAGATACATGTGTCAAGTCTTTGGGTCAGACAACTCTTTTTGAACCAGTGTATTTACTCTCCAAAGCCAGAATTGCATCATATTTCTCTTGCATTAACTGGAGATCATATCCGCAAGAATGAATCGCGCGTGTATAGAGGGCGTAGTGATTTACATTTATACAGCCGTAGCTGAAATGACAAAGTAGTACCCAAATCGCGCCACAGATTGTAGCATCAATCGAAAAAATTCGGGGGAATGGAAATGTTAACAAAAGAAAACATATAAAGACAGTGAATTCTGAAAACATATCAATTCATTTTATGCCAGCCTCAACATCTGCGCACCTCTTCTCATTGTCTTTGTTTGCAAAATACATCTTTTGGGACCACGAGACACTACCATTCCGAATGTCTGGGGAATACATGGGGAAGAACGGATATTCATCCTAAAGAGATAAAGCTGTTTTCTTCAAGTGAGTAGATTCATTTTGAAGTAATAAAAATATGTCTATTTGTTTTAAAAAATATATTTAATTATGTTTAAAATGCCCTCCATTGAAGCAAACCAATATGAACGTTGGAAATCTAATTGGGTCAATAACAGTACCTTTATGAATGTTTAAACTTGTATGGTTTTTTTTCAATACACGTATATTCAAAATAATTAATACTCACTGATTCAAAAACAGCCTTTCAACTGCGTAAACATAGACTGTTTATTTAAACTAGAATGTTTTATTATAATTGCCTATAATAATATGTTCTGCACTTCGTTATATCTTCAAGACAAATATCACTCCGAGAGAACAAATTCATCTAGCAAATAAATGTTTGTAAAAAGTGTTACGACGCCTCCTGTATCACTACACTGTGCAAAAATACCTCCTAAATGTGTAGATATTCTCATTCAAGTGAATAAAACAAAACTCCAGGGGCCTAAGTGGTCTCATCCGTCTACGCAGCCTACATTGTGATACAAGTACGCTTTGCATGATGAAAAAAAAACATTCTTTTTTGTCTATGTGCCAATCATTACATTTATCTTCCATACTTTTATTTTATGTTCAATATGAAAATGTGTAAATTCATCAGAACTTAGCTGAAAATTAAAAACAAGAACTATTAAAAAGATAACGAACATTGGCAGCAACAATGAGAGAAAATGTTTTGAGCATACTATTTTTATAGAAAGAATTTTATCTGAAACGTTAATTATCATGGAATCACACTTCCGGTATACGATAAGGGTTCTACACCTATTTAGCGTACCTAATGGTGCATTTTATTCACAAGAGCAGAACGACTGATTTGAAAAGCAAGCCGGAAAGCGCGTTGAAAAATTTTGACACGCAAAGAAATGAATGAAAATATAAACGGCAAAGGAACACAAAGCGACCTCAATTGCAGCGAATGAGGAGTGGCGTGATCGGTCAACTGGAGCAGGGCCAGGGGAAATGCGCTAATGTCCGGGTCGCCTGCGGGAGAGCGGGCGAATGGCGAACGCCGCTTTCACAGCTGCCAATCGCCGCGCGCTTTCATGAATAAGTCTCTGATTATGAGGTGGAGTTAGGAAATTGGGAAAAAGACGTTGCAAACATTGCAGGCAAATGTTGAAAGAAATCGTTTAAATAAAGTGGACGAAACGACAAACCAAGTACATGAACGTTCTTGATCATTTTGGATTGGTGATGTTCATTATCCCACCACCTCATTCTTGATTTTATCATGGAAAAACAGATGGGGAACGCTGAGCCATTTAAATATGCAAGTCAAATAAATCGAACATATAAATAACGACAGTTTATTGTATATTATACAATGATAATACGTCAAGAAGTACTGATCACTATTGTCATTTTGATTTCTACACAATACGGTTTGCTCTTTCAATATCCATTTCTTTTGTGGAAAAATCTAATACATTTCAATTCTTAAAGAGTTCTTATTCTTGAGTGATAATAATAAGTGCTAATTCATAATTAAGTGCAAATAATTTTATAACTGAAACTTTCAACAAACTTAACGAAAATTTTCGCATACATCGCAACGTTGAATATAGTTACTAAAGTTACCCGTTGCTCTTAAAGTATTGCAATGTCATTATCAGACCGTAACATTTTATAAAGCCGTCCAGAAAAATCTGTTCCCGGTTTGACAAAACCAGAAACTTTTCGAACTCCATTTTCATACCCTTTCAAAGTAAGCTTGAATCGTTATTTCTTTTACGTTTCGTCAGGCAGCCGATTTGCCAGTTTATGTTTGAGGAATTCGAAGCAAACGCGCGCAAGCAGTAAATAAAAACCCCAAAGAAAAGGGGATAAAACACGACGCAGTCGAGCAGGGCGCCATTTACTAGCGCTGAACCTCAAACTATAAAACTCGGGCAAACAGAAAGAGGTAGTTCGCTGTAACAATAACTGTTTCCTCACCGCGATACATAAACCGCATTCATGAGAAACGCAATGGCTAGTAAAGCAGTCCTGCGACCTCTCTATTCTCAGGGATAAGCGCGAGGCGTGACCGGGGCCAGGCCGGGGCCGACGTGGGTGCGAGACGTTGCGTCAGACAGGGCGGGGCGAGGCGAGGCGTGGGTGAGGAGAGAGAATGAGGTTGAGCGAGGCGGGTAGCACTCCCAAAAGAAGCGGGTGCGTGGAAGGGTTTATTATTATTATTATTATTATTATTATTATTATTAATACTATTATTATTATTACTATTATTATATACAGGGGCAACGGCGAAGCACGGTACCATCGAGGAGAGAAAAGAGCAAGGCGGGGTCAAGGAGATAAAGAGACAGGACAACGCGCGGCCTATGGAGAATAGACTTGAGTAAGGCAGGAGCGACGCTCGGTTGAGGCAGGGACGATACAAGGTCGAGGTGGAGGTGAGGTGCGTACGAAGAGGAGCGAGGCAAGGCGATCAGAGGCAAAATAAGGTATGATGGGGAGAGACGGACAGAGATGGAGAGAGACGAACAAAGACAAAGAAGAAGAGTCGGGAAGAGAGATGCGGTGTGAGATAGTAATTAACTTAAATTGAAGGAGAAAGTCGAAAAGAATTGGGAAGAGGTGAAGAGAGCTGGAGAGATATAGAGAGACTAAAAACCAGTCGGAGAAAGTTGGAGAGAGACTAGGCGGGGTGTGGCACAACAGGATGAGACGAAGTGCATCATGACAGGCCGAGGGTGGACGAGGCGGGTCCAAGAAAGGTTTCATCTGGGAGAACAATGGGCAAGCGAGACGGTCGCAAGACGTGAGGGGTGTTCGCTGAACCGCAAGCCATAAAGGCCCGTGCCCAAGCAACGAACTAGGTTCCGCTATCGTTCGCGTCTGATCTCTAGCATCGACCACGCGGGAGTCGCGAAACTACTCGTAGCAGGTAAAAATGGCGGGCGATTCTCAGATAGGCCGCCGGCGGCGACTGGGGATTTCCGCGTCTCCGTAATAAGCAGGTAGCAAAACAGATCGTGGACGCTGACTCAGTTGCACTCAACTTTCGGGATAAAACAAAGTGCGATGGAAGAGAGCAAAGTAGGGGTTTCCTGGAATCTTAGTTTTTTTTTACCTCTTAAAGAATATTTTCAGAACACGAACATAGGTTTGCAGCGAATATTTTGGCCGGTAGATAGCGTGTAACGAGTTATGAGAAAGGAAAATTAATAAATGTAATTTGTCTGAAGATATGAAAGAAAGTTCCGAAAAATGAAAATTAATGTATTTTAATCGGACTCATCACATGTATCAATATCTTATTGAATATATGGGAAACTGAAATATATTCTAAATAGTAATGCAATAGATTTAGTAAACTTAGAATACATTGAAGTTGCCTTTTTCGATTCATGCACATTATATTCTACAAAGATAATATACAATGATAGTATTACACATAAATAGTATTGAGCAGAAATCATGACATGAATCTCTATGTACTTATATAGAAACTATTTGAATACACGTTTTTACATCCTGTTAATTTAGTTGAATAAACGTATCATTCCATTATGGATAAAGAGTTATGATAACAAATGAATGAAAGGAAGAAAAGAAGTTTATCTCGCATCACATAGCGTGAGCTTTTCCCGTTGTGTCAAGAAGTAGGTTACAGTAAAAAAACGAACAAAAGATAAAAGAAAATGTGTAGATTTTCCATTTTGAAGAGTATCCCCTGCTAATAACAACAACACAATATTTTCATGAAGTCTCTTCGAAATAACGCGGTATCTTCACTGGCGTCGATGTCAAAAGTGAGCCTCGAAGCCCCCAGTTCAACGTGGAGCTGTGGCGAGGGTGGGGGGTGGGGGGGCAAACACAGTAGCGCGCTCTGGCGGGGCAGCGCGGCGGCAAGAAATACGAGCTCCGATCGCAATCGCCGACCGCAGCCGCTGATTAAGTCAGCTCTGTTTGGAGCCGCACGATTGTGGTGGAGAGGTAGCGCGCGCTGAGTGCAACGGGCGAGTGCGAAAGCGGGTCGAGGAAACAGACGGTCAGAAAAGGGATAATTGAGAGAGGCTCAGAGTGTGTGAGTGAGATAGATAGTGAGTGAGAGAGTGTGAATGAAAGAATGAGAGAGAGTGTGAGAGAGAATGAAAGAGTGAGATAAAGTGGAAGAGAGAGTGAGATGGAGAATGAGAGAATGTGAGATAGACCGTATGTGAGAGAGAAGAAGAGAAAGGGTAGGTGAATATCAGAGAAAAGGGAAATGGTAAAGTGGCAGTCGCAGAAAAAGGTAAAACTCGATGAACTAGCATGGCGAGATGATCAAAATACAGATTTGAAGAGGGCAGAAATATCAACGAAGACGGATGCGTGTTAGAGAATAAGACGGGGCGACTGGTAGAGACTGAACTGAAAGAATATGAAGAAACACCATGTCTTGCTGGTGGGCTGTTCGTTTGGGGTTAGGGGTTCAATTTAAGTGAGGGTGGGAGGTGAAACCGAATAACGTGGAACCGGAGAAGGGAAGAGTGGAGGGGTGGGGATGTAGAGTTACCTTGACAGCGGCTGATGATTAAGTCGGCTCTGTTTAGAGAGATACAATTGAGGTAGAGGAAGAGTATAATGAAGAGAGCTGGTCTAGGAAAGACACACTTGGTGGCGGGTGAGGGAAAAAGGACAGGGGTGACCAGAAAAGTGGGTTGGTAAAGAATCAGTAGTTGGGATGTGGTAAGTGAATAAAAAATTGCTACGTGCAGGGCTACGCAAAATACTAAACTGCAATAACAGAAGGGTGGAAAGAATATAAAGTGTGCAGGGAGCGCTGCGACTGAATGTTAACCAATACATATCCTCCATAACTACAATATTATAAGTGTTCTTGAAAGGATATTATGACAATTGAAATTGCTTATTTTCCAATGAAAATAACTCTTCGATAAAACATTAAGAAATTTAATATTAATGCAAAAGAATACGTTTGTAAAAATAATAATAAAGGTAAAAAGAATAAGTACTTGCAGCCGAAACGACATGCAGAAAAAGTTTATTTTAATTGATTTTAAGGCTTTTGAGATAGAAATTTGCGATCACCTTCACCCCTTTTCATTTTCGTAGAGACAGGAATGTCTTCCTAAACCAGTTAATGGGGGATGGTACCTTCCCCCGATACGACTGTCTGAATTGTTTCATAAATTCTTCTGAACCAGTTTTGTGTTTCTTTTATAGGAAGAGGAGTCCCGCATGCCCATCTCAGATCTTATAGTCCGGAAGAGGAGAGCAATTGATATGAACTAAGTCATAAATGAATGAAACTACCAACTGCACCACCGTCCGTTGTAGCGGTGTTCTCCACATTCCCAACTATTTTTTTGTCATGGAATGGAGACAATAAAAACAATGTCAGGGAGAAAATTCATAAGACTGTGAGAAGGCTTTCATGTTCCATACGTGTAGTAAAAACAATCATGCTTCATTCGGGATTCGAACCTACAACCAGTAGAGTTGCATGTCACAAGTCCCTGCGTGACAAGACTGGGAACTATTTTAGATTTCGACTTCGCTGTTACTAGTAGCTATTACTCACCGGTAGGGGCAGTCGGGCATGTTGATGGAGCTCATGACGAAGGAGCTGGAGGCGGTGAGCAGGGGCCGCTTGGACACCTCCATCCACGTGACGGCGTAGCTGCCGGGCTCCCGCTCCAGGAACTCCACCACGAAGCTCCTCGCGTGCGGCGCCAGCAGCAGCAGCGGGTTGCTGGCGGCCGGCACTTCCTCGCTGCCGTTGCCTCCCCCTCCGCCGCTCCCGCTGCGGTTCCACCCGTCACTGAACACCTTCCACCAACCTGCGGGCCGGCCCAAGCCGCCAACGCGCCCTCACCGCCCCGCGCCCCCACCAACCGCCCCCGGCCCAACACTCGCGAACCCTTCCGGCGCCTTCTTCTAGGGCAAACGACCTTTGGCTTCGCGCGTGTCCAGTCCAGAGTAAATCCACTATGCGGTTGAGCGTGGGCATTGGTCGCCGGCTACCTCGGACGGCCAGCTCGAAGCCGAGCGGATCTTGAGGTAGAGGAAAGTTCGTTGACGGTGTCCCTCGGGCTCGATGAGCGCACGGGTGGTTCACGCAGGCACCGCGCCCGACAAGATCCTCCGCGCCGTCTTCCTCTTCAACGTGCGCAACTTTCCGCGTCCCGCGGGTTCCTCAGCGCGTTCTCCCCGCTGGAGCGCCCTCAACCGGCGGTCCTCCCTCTTCGAGAAGCACACGCTGCCGTCCACGTCAGCCCGCTCAGGGAACTGGGTACTCGCTCCCTTCGAAGTAGAAGTCGCCGAAGTCCTGCGTGATGTTACATGAAGGTGTACGGTGAAGTTGACCTTCACGACTACGAGGACTGAGCGTGTTGATGACGAGCGGTGGTGAGGCGCGAGCAATGGCCAGTCGCGCGGCAGCTGCACGCCGGGGCCAGGGTACTCCGGCGACCCACAGCTCGGCCGGCCGCGTCGTGCGTTTGCTCAGGTAGCGCGACACGGCCTGGGCGAACTTTGAGGCGCAGCGGCGCGCCACTTCCAGCGGCCCCGTGCGCAGCGTCCCGCGCCGACAATGCACGCCGGGCGGCTCCGCCGAACCGCGGCGCCGGCCGTGCAAACGTGAAGCTTGAGACGCGCTTCCCCGGGGGGCCGCCTCGAAGCGCAAAGCAACGCAAGCTTTCAGGTTCTTGCGCGCCGCCGCGCCCGCGTAGAAGAAGCAACGGCCCCTGCGCGGGATTGGAAAGCCCCGGCGGCCGGGGACGGCGGTCGTTCCGGGAGCCGCCGCCGACACGCCCCCGCTCCCCGCCGCCGCGGCCGCCGCCGCCGCCGCCGACGTGAAGACGCGGTCGCACGCGCTCGCCGCGCCCCGCACCGGCGCGCCCTCCAGCGCCGTGTCCACGAACTCGTAGCGCAGCACGAACGACACCTGCGGGAGCAAGGAGCGGCTCATGCTTTCCTGCCTCCCGTCAAGAACACACACGCGTTCCAGTATCAATACACGCGCACACACCTTCTCTATTGGCACGATCCTGCTTCCTCTGACATTCATAATCGTTCGCTCTCTCAAAACGTCTTGTAAAATTCAGTTTAAACTATTATTTGTTTATTTTGTCATTAGATATTTTTGTTCACTTAAATGTGAACTTATCTCTGCTATCTGGTAAAGATGAGAACCGAATCAAAAGCTTATAAAGAATAAAATGTCATATAAATAGTTTATATCATTTATCCAATGAACTTATTCTACCTAATGTACAGAGATCCCCTTTTGTATAACAAATTAACGGGACCAATATCAAATATTCTATGAGTATTATTGGCATTATTATACACCATTTCTAACTTTTCATATTTTTAAATGTCTACATCAAGAAATTGTTTTCAAAATTATGGTAAAAGTACTGATTGAATATATTACATTGTAAGAAACGAAACAAAATGATCAGTTAATTAAGTAACCAAATGAATTGAGGCGGAAATTAATATCCTTATGTTTGATAATAGAGATTCGTTTTCATTGAAGTTTATGTAATCAATCCATGCTGAAGCGAAATAATACTGCAAACACACGTATAATAAATAATAGAGTGAATGATTATGAATTTCAAAGAAAGAGGATAAGTTTAATTGAAACAACAAACTAATAATTTACAACACAGAGAACAAAGTTGTGAAAAGGGTAAATAACAGAAATGGAAATACGTAAAGATAAAGTAATTAAATGTAAAAGGACAAATGATTATAAGACGTTCTAGAAGAGGAAGCAATGTCAAGAAAGAAAGAAAGAAAGAAAGAAAGAAGGAACGATTGGAGAAAGAAAGAAAGGACAGAAGGAAGGAAGGAAGGAAGGAAGGAAGGAAGGAAGGAAGAATGAAAAACACAAGGAAACAAGATGAATCTCGAGAAAAGAAGAAAGACAGGGGATCGCAAAACAAAATTATCAAGCATTGCAAAAAGAGAAAAAATCGGAAAGAGAAGAAAGAAGCAACAAGGAAGGAAGAGCAGAGCGAATGAAAGGGGGCGAAGGGCCGAGTGGCTCACCGGGTAGAGCGCGCTGCCCTGGCGCAGGAAGGTCTCGAGCGTGAGCTCGGGCCCCGACGAGACGTAGCTCTCGGCCAGCGCGCAGGGCCGCGTGAAGCGCGTGCTGTTGGACAGCAGCGCGTGGTCGCACAGCCGCGGCGACTCGTCCTTGCAGAACTCGCCCAGCAGCGACACGTTCGTCTGCGCACCGCAACACACCGCACTCGATCGCACCTCGAGCGCAATCTGACGTTTTGGGCCTTGCGAGTTTGGTGGAGGGTGTCGTCGCAGAGGGAACATCTCACAAGAGAATGCGTTTATCCTGAGTGGAAACGATTGTTTCACGTCAAAAAATGTAGTAAGTACTTTACACTACTTATTCGCTTTCTTGTGCGGTATCTTTAAGAAAATTTACTAGAGAATTATACTATATTTCTAAATAGTTTTCTTCACTTGACAAAAATGACGATTCTTTTAAGTGTAACTTATTGGCAGGCCAGAGGAATTAATAAAAACTGGTGTAAACTTTGATATTCATGTTTTTATAGGTCGTATGAAGTATAGCATTGATTGTTAAAAACTAATAAGACATTTCATTCAGGATTCAAATTAGAATGGTTACTTTCACGTTTATATATTTGAAAACGTTGACAATGATGTTTATGCAAATATTTATTCAGCCATGTTGAGTTCATAAATCAGGGGATGGAGGTGCCCCTACTTTGGCGGGTGACGTGAAATTATTCATATTCGACATGTCGAACATTAGTAAATGGATAAGATCATGAATCCATTCCTTTGAATCCCCTCAAAAAATCGTGCATATTTTCCTTTCAATAAACAGAACATATGTTTGTGTTAAGAAGTGTACGGCCAGACGGGGCGCCGCACTTTCCGGTGCTAATGTGGCCATCCCAAGTTTGTTCGTGTTCGTTAATGTATGCGATCGTGATTATTAATATGTGCATTCGTGTTCGTTAATATGCGTGTGCTGCCTTCGTTAATGTGCAACAATTTCTCGTTCCCGTAAATAGTAATTGAAACCCGTGCTTTTGCAGGGCGCGCACCTCGGAGCGTCATGGCGCGAGCACAGGCCTTGGCGTGCGCGGCTTCTCACGTGTCGGAGCCGATGACTAGCCCAGATGTTTGTTCGTGTTCTTGAATACATATTTATGTTCGTTAATGTGTGTGTTTATTATCGTGAATATGTGTGTTTGTTAAATGTTTGTTCGTGTTATTTAATATGTGTGATCGTTAACGTCTATTTTCGTGTTGTGTTGGTACAAGTGAAACTCTTTCCGGGAGCCTTGGGAGAGTTGCTTGGTGGTATTCGCAGCCCGTTCCATACAAACTAAACTTGTCAAATAATTTCTCGTTCCCGCAAACAGTAATTAAAAGCGGTGCATTTGCAGGGCGGGCGCGGGCCGGAGCAGCACTGACCTTGGCGGGCGCGGCGCCGGGCGAGTCGGGCCCGATGCGGCCGTCCCAGATGCGCAGGCGCGCGTTGCAGTCGGGCGCGGCCGGGTCGAAGGCCGCGGGCGCGGCGTCGGCGCTGGCCGCGTGGTACTTAACGAACGCCAGCCACACCGTCTCGCGCCGCCGCCCTTGGAAGTGGTAGCGGCACGTGGTGTTGGGCGGCAGCGAGTGGCGCGGGTTCTCCAGCACCCCCCACGCCGCGTCGAAGCTCGACAGCAGGAACTCGCAGTGCGCGCCGTCGCGCACGTACGAGTGCGACCGCGCGTCCACCAGCAGGACCTGCGCACGCCGGGCGCGACCCGGTTGAAGGAAACTGTCGCATGCGACTCCCACGTGGTGCAACACTACGCGTCTGATATTGTCGAATATTCTGTACCAATGCTGTGATAAGCAAGTTTGATATCAATCAGATAAGAAAGTAAGGGCTAGGATTAGGGGATAAATCTGAGTAAATTGTAAATATCTCATACCTGTAATATAATATTGGTAGAAGAAATTAGTTTTGAATACGAAATCTTGATAAGTAACTATTTGGTTGTTCACTACATACACAGATACTAATTGAGTTAACAGCGTAAACCAATTTTAATGTTTCAGTGCACTTTAAAACTACTTGTTCTGCTCACATGGGCTATAATTCTTTGGCAGATGAGAGGATCAAATACTTAATCTTTATTCTAATCAGAAATGTATGGAGTCTAATTGTAAAAAATTGGGTTTTTATTTGTCGCCAGTAAATTACTTTTCATATTACGACAAAAATTTACAGCTATCCTAGCAACGATATCGATTTCCGTTCGTCATGAGTGATGAACGGAAAATTCATCAGGCAGCGGCAAGCAGCTTGTGATGAGGTTTTTACCAATCTTCATATTTTCTACCTTTTTAGCAAACGCACTAACGGTGTACCCGTACGCGTCTGGTGCAAAATCGTCTTTGTAAGAAATTCCTGAGAGTCAGATTTTACAAACGAAGATTCAGTTTTTACGAACGATTATTCTAAATATTTAGATAAGAGTAAATCACTTCCAGACACGGCGTTTCTAGCACAGTTTTTAAGTAACTTTCAGAAAATTTTCATACAAACTGAATGGCTCCTTATGTCAGTCAAAAAACAATTTATTTTTCAGAATATAGAGAGATTTTCATGGTGATGAGAAATCGGTAAATCTGATACGGTATAAACATCGGCTGCGTCGTCTCTCCCCAGTGAAAGCAGCGACTTCGTCGCGCGCACCAACGCCCGTTCAGGCGACGGCGCGTGAAGCGACAGCAGCTGATCGGTGGCGGCGGCTATGGTAGGGGCAGTGATGGCGGCAGTGGTGATGGTCGCTGTCATGTTAGCTGTGGTGACTGCGGTGGTGGTGGTGGTAATGGGCGTGGGAGGGGTTGTGGCGGTGATGGATGGGGAGGGGGTGGTTGCGGTGGTGGAGGAGGCGGTGGCAGAGGTGGCGGCCATGGTGACAGTGCCGTCAGTGAATGGAGAAGGTAGGTGCTAAGAGCGATGAAGTGAACAGAGACAACGGATCGTGATTCATCAAACAGCGTGAGGGCTGGCATTGGATTTGGTAGCTGCTTTGATACGGTGTGGGGAAATGGAGGCTGGGTCGGATAGGTACAACGTGGAGCGATAGGAACAGTGCCGGACGAAGCTAACTCTTCCATGCTGGGTTTGGGGAAGGGGTGGGGGGTGTCGATGCAACATGAGCGGGGAGCGCAGGCCAGGGTGCGCGGAGCGTAGCATCATCGACGCAGTCGTCGAAACCAGACCGAGGGAGCCGGGGAATGGGTGTCCGCCGTGGAGTGAGAAGGAACGGTAGGATGAGTTTATCCCAACAGCGGGATGGCGGTGACAAACGTGGACAGCAGGAGGAGCTGGAGGAGGAAGTGGATATAACAAAATAGAATTGTGAGGAGGTGGAAAGGATTGGGATGCTGATGCATGTGTACTTGAACACAGAGACATCAGGGGTTGACGAGAGGAATTGGCTTCGCTTTTGACTGGACACGACATTGACCAAAGGGCAGATGCATGAGAGGCAGATGTGGTGTTTACATGAAAGATGGCTGAGTTACCGTATATAGCACATTAGAGTGAGCGTTGGCGTGGGACAATGGCTTGAGCCAAATGGCGATGGCGGTAGTGGCATTTTTAGTTGATGTGTCGTAGAGGTTGGACGGGAAAACGTCTACCATGGTATCTTTGATAAGTAAAGAAGGTAGATTTGGCAAAAAGAGTGATTGGAGTGCCGTGCGAGCCGTGTCCTAGAGGTTGAGTGGGATGGTGAGATGGGAAAGGAGGAGAGGTAGTGGAGCATAATAGTTATAAGTTTATTATAAAATTCTGCCTCGGAATGTGGTGGTAATGTCGATGACCGTGGTTCATGGACACCAATTTAAGATGTAAAACATACCGGGATTTTAATGCAAAACTTATCTTGCCCACATTATTTTGTCGAATACATTAAAGTGTTTGTTAGCGGGCCAAAATCGCAACAGAGCGAGACTTGTGTTTTGTGTCCAAACTTCGGAAACTCTCGAACGGATGGAACATCATAGGTTTATTGATTAATTGATGTTGGCGGCAATTTAACTGATATGTTATTTATTGAAGATTTTATTGTAGAAGTGGCGGTGATCCTTCCCAGATTGATCGCGAGATCCGGAGACGGACTACACCTCGACTTGCAGTAGGTTTTCCTTTGCAGATATATCCCTTCAGTGTAGCACTACCCTAGCCAGAACAAGCCCTAAGCTCCCGCCACGGGTAATAGAGTGCATGTAAGTGTGTGTGTGTGTGTGTGTGTGTGTGTTTGTGAGTAAGGAGAGAAGATATAACAGGGAAGAGGAAGGGATCGCGCACGGTCGTTTGTTAGGGTAGTGCTCAGCATTACTTGAGAAAAACCACAGATATATACCTATCAGACCAGCAAATCGACGGAATTCTCCTGCAGAGAGCGGCTGAAATTGTCCTATCTATCTAGGAAGCATCGAAAATGCGACAGTGTCTAAACTCGAACCCTAGTACCTCGAGGTTAGAGTCGATACAGAGACAGCGGCATTGAAGGCTGTGAGCTAAACTCAGTCGTCATTGTGGATGGAGGAAGTGACAATTGATAGCAGGGAGGAAGGCGTCTGCAGAAACATTGACGAGGCAGTGAAGTGTAGTGAGCGGAACTAGATTTGTGTGAGGGAGAGAACGCAGCATGTCACGCATGCACGAAAGAGGCAATGTTGCGTACTATGAGGATGGGTGGAAAGGAGCGAGAGCACACAAGGAAACACAGTTCTGAAGATATTGACAAAAATAAATTTAGTGTTTTATTCAACTTGTTCGCATTTCAACATAAGTTTACGAACACAAGTTCCATATTAGAAAAATGTATAATATTATATAAAATTACGTATACATTTATTTTACATTGCTCAAAACTAATGTTTATCTAATATACATATTAATTAATTTTCTTTTCTTCCTGCAACATTTTTGACTTTTCTGATTATGCAAGAAATTCTAACACACGTACACATATTCAGAACATTTTCTAATAATTTTACAAACATGGTCGTGATTATCCTCGAAGAAAGAATTTTGGATCTTTAAAATAAGCGTAAAAATGTCTGAAAACAAGATCTGTTTCCTCGACAATAACTTCAAAACCTTCTACTTGTAACACAATTAAATTGTGATTCAACTTTATACACGACTTATTAAGTACATAATACATTTTGGGTCATATGAAAAAAAAGAGCATTTGTTCATGAGTACTTGCTCCGGAGCAAAGTGAGTCTACTCCGCGGCACTGAGCAGAAGCTCCATTTCGTATGAATAAAAACTTCGTATGTCTCCGAAGAACTTAATCATGTCTCGCGAGCATTTGCTCGTCGTGAACGTGATAGTACCGGCTAAGAGTTTTAAAAATTGGGTTCTTGAGCAACAAAGAGGTTACATACGTTACGCGCGTCGCGCACATTTGTGCGGAATAAAGAGCAATTGTTTGTTGTCTCATTCTTTAAATTCGAATATGAATAGCAGTAACGAAAAACAGGCGCATGTGGCCCAGCTAATTTTTACCGAAATGCTAAGTGAATATAAAATTATTTTTGAAAAGAGCCAGCTTTCGGAAGGACGCTGTGGCCGAAACGAAACATTACAAAGTTTCAAAAAACAGTACCCCTAAAAATTCCAAGTAGAAAAGAGCGATGGCCAATTAACATAGAAGATATGCAATACGAAAAAGCGCCTGAAAGCAAACGCTGATAAAAATCGTACGAACCATAAATTGTACTTTTCGAATCGGCAAAGATTCTAATGGTCTACATCACGAGAATTCCGCCTAATCTTGAATTTTTTTGTCCGCTACATATGCATATCAACACACGGTAAAAAATCGGCCAATTTAACCTTACTTTTCAAACGTGAGTCTGCTACTAAGGTCCCTCCGAAATTTTGCAGCAAGTGCTCACTCTAGAGAATAAACGCTTAACTTTATTCATACCACTTCTGAGCATTTGCTTGCCAGTTGAGAGTACGCTCAGAGTTGGAGCAAGTGCTCAGAGACTGAGCAATTGCTTACCCACTTTATTCATACGAAACTGAGTAGGATCTCGGAAACGCGGAGCAAAGAGTACTTGCTATCTTTTATTCATACCACCCTTTGTTTTCCCCTCCTTCACCTTAGGAGGATTGTCTGGCAACCTAGCAATGCCGAAAATCACAACACCGAGCAACCTGAGAATTGGAAGCGTATTTAGTCAGTATTTTGGGGCTCCCGCGCCGTAGAGCGGCGAGAGGTGGCGAGGCGGAAGGACGCGCCGTAGCAGGGAGGCGGAGCGGTAGAGCAAACGAAGCGGAGGGGATGGGGGAGGCGATGGGATCGCGATGGGGGCGGGGGCGAGCGACGACGCGGTTCATCACGCCGAAAAAAGCGGCGGCAGCGGCGGACGCCCGGCCCCGCAGCGTCAACAGCGAAACATCACAGGATTTCCTGCTCCCTCGTCACACGTGGCGGCGGCCGGAGGGAGGGTGGAAGAGGATGGAGAAACGGGGTGATAGGATGCAGAGGACGGGGAGAATGAAGGTGGGGAGGGTGGAGAGGATGGAGAGAGTAGATAGAATAGAGAGGATGGATAATGTTGAGAACCCTCTGCGCGCATCAGAGGGAGGTAGTAGAGAATGCAGAATATTGGAGTGTAGAGAGGGGGGAAATAATGGAGAGGGTTGAATAATATGGAGAGAATAGTGAGAGAGAAGAGGTTAAGGAGAGTGGAGAGGATAG